CATTAAGTATTAAAACTGAGCCTCATGCAAACAAGGATTCCAGCATTTCAGTGGGTCAAGTAGTTTTCAAGCTGATTCCATATAGGAACTGAATTCTTTGTTCCAGCCCGTGACCAAAACTAAAATAAATGCCCAGTGATAGGCCTGAAAGTGTGGAAAATTAAGTCCATTTTTTTTCTGAACATGTAATTGAATTTATGCTACCAAACTCTTAAAGAATGTTTCTGTGAAATACATGTAATACTGTATAAACATTTGCATAAAAGAATAAGAAAGAATAAAACAGTAAGGTCTCTTATAATATAAATGAACCTCAGAGTAAAAATCATATTATTCATGTTTATCTTACTCAAAAAAAAAAAAAAAGCAAAAAAAGAACTGGACGATTTTCTTTCTTTTGAGTCAAAACTGACACAGTCCAAATTTACCAGCTGGGAAATTTTCTAGAAATCTTTCTATTGGGATAGACAAAGGAACCAGAACAAAATCTAAAACTCCAGTCCTCAAACTTGTCAAAATTATTGTTGATACCAAATAGCATAAGTCTGATTTACTGTAATTTATAGAATAACCAGACATTATACCAAATTTGCAAATCAGTTAAATGAAACGGAAACGTCTGGGTCTATTCTGACAGTACAGTCCTATATATGTTCATTCATGTAAAAGGTCCACTGAGTTACAGATATGTGGGAATAAGATTGCAACCTAAATTAGCATTCAGCTGTAAGTATTGAGCACAATCAAAGAAAACTTTTGGGTGAGAATCAAATAAGGTATAAAAATGTACTCAATGGTCAGTATAACAACATTAAAACACACAAAAAAGTAGCTTTTCCAATATATATTTAACAAGAATGTTCCAACTGTATTAGAGACGTATGATTAAAGCGTCTTAAAAGCACTCAAGATAAAGTCCAATCTATGCTATAATGTTTAGATTTTCTATTTTCAATATTTTATGAGGGGTAAAAACACACAAATCAGTAGTATATTACCCAGAGAATTTTGATATTGGAATATACGTAAATCTATACATAATTTTAGAACATAAACTGATACAAATCTACTGGGAAAGTAAACCCACTGGGGTGGGTTCAATGGAGTTCAGATCAGGGTGGAATCCATTGCCGGCTTTCAATCTCAAATATGCTAACTGAGATTGCTTCAAAGAAGAATACAACCTTAATTGACTTTAATGAAATACACACTAATAGGGCTCTTACTAGGTTTATTATACAGTTTCAGTTGTATTTTAAACCATTTAATGATGCACTGTAGTGCTTTGTAAGCCGTTTCAAGTAAATTTGTTTCAGAAGAATGAAGCAAAAATGTTCATATACCTATAAATAAATACTCATTTAAGTAAATAACAATCCAGATAAGTAGATACTCATGTTTCTGAATGTTTTATATGCATTGTGGTTATACTGCCAAGAGATGCTGGGTAGTCAGCAGTATAACTATTTTGATAAATAAAACAAGAAACGATCAGAACAGAGCAGAGGTAGTTAGCTATTTAATAGCTAGGGGACAAACTTTTCAATATTTAGGTGGCCAAATGCTACCTTGAGGTGACCTAGTGATGTCACCTCACTACTGGATAGGGCAGAAATTTCCAGCTAGCATTTTCTGTAATTTTATGGATTTTTCAATACTTCTTTAAAGATATGGTTAACTTAATCGGTCAGTTACACCCTTTTCCTCTTCTGTTTCCTGCTGCAAATTAAGGGGGAATCCTACTCTTATGATTTGGCAGCATCATTTCTGAGGGCCAAAAAAAGTGTGTTCAAGGGCTAGATATTTTATTTATCATATTTATATGCCGCCCATCTCACAGAAATGTGACTCTGGGTGGCATGTATGGAAACGGTGGATATGGCCCCACATCCACACTCAGTACAGAGTGAAACAGAGGAACAAAGATGGGGATACAGATCTTCAGAGCTCTTGCTAAAGGTCTGGATCATGCTTTTTTGTTTGTTTTAAACACTTTCACAATACAATGTTCCTACAATAATCACTATGCATGGAATCCCCATGTTTAGAGGCATTATGCCAAAAGTGGAGGAGAAAATATTGACCAGACTGTCCTTGAAAGTTTCTCAGTGAATCCGGCTGCCAAAATGAAACCATAAAAAGCAAAGTTGTTACCCAGTGATGAAATGGCAAAACCTTCAGAGATTTTTATTAGGCATGTCTTTATTAGGACCAGCCAAACTGTCACAAAACAGCGTGCAAGCTTTTGAGCTCTCTAAGACTCCATCAGGGATTGGGGAAAGAAACAAAGACGTTGTAAAATGACCACTGAAAATGGTTGGACAGCTCATCTCAGAGCGCTTCTTAAGCACCAGTGAAGGCAATATATAGTTAATTACTTCATGTATAATTATATTTTTATCACCAGGAGCAACAGCAGGGCCAGACATTTTCTGCTTATGGAGGAAAAAGGTGGTACCGTCCTTTGCCCCCACTCCACATAAATAAGCCAACTGGATCGGTAGCTGAGTCATCTCATCATTAGGTACAATGAGGCTACTACAGAAATGGTAGCTATCTAACATTTCTCCCTCAGGACTCTCGCTATTTATTCAGATATAGAGGGATGCTATTCTTTGGTCAGCACTGAAGATTCACCTCCCAGATCTTTTAGACCATGCTTTCCTGTACCTTAGAGAGCAAAATGTTTTGACTCAGCTCCTTTATAGAGTTGAACTTTAAAGACTGGCAATGGGAGAGTATCCTGAGGTGGTGACAAGCTAACTTAAACCACCCAGGAAAGGATTTTTAGTGGAGCAAGCTCAGTTCCCCAATAGGTTTGCTGAACCCAGCCAATCTGATTTATAAACTATTGTTTATGGCTTACTGTGCTGTGTGAGCCAGGCTAATTCCATAAATCACAGCTTAATACATGTGAACCCAGCACTTATTTCTGGTATCAATGCATCTTTGGACAGAGGCCGAGTTACCCAGAGGTGACAGAATTTCAGTTTGATCTATCAAGGGAATACATGCATCTCAGCATTTTCATTTGTAATGCGCAACAGTATTTTCTGGAAATAAATATATAAAACAAAGCTAAGTCCCTTTATCTCAGTGGGATTTAAATCTAATATTGTACTTAGGACTTTTCTCCACTTGCATCTAACAATGGCACAAACGTGGCCTGGCAACATCTTTTTTCTGTCATATCCCCATGAGATATGCCTACATCCTATCCCTACCCCATGAGTAAGATGTGCTTAAATCATCCTTAGCTGTTCAGCTGTTTAAACAGTAGTTTCTTGTTATTCTGTCAAGGTCCCAGAGAATCTTCAAGGTATAGGCTTTGTCACCTATTACCTTGGAGAGAAGTCAGGTGACTGCATGACTTGAAACACAGGCAGGATAGGACTCAGCAATGGAGACAGTCAGTGTTGAGCTGGTGCTGATTTCTGTTGACTCAAAGACTGTGTCGACTCAACCATCAGGAAAAGCTCTTAGAAATGCAGCTCTAGGCTATAACTTACTCCTAGGATGCTTTGGGGGAAATTGGGTGGCAAATTTTACTGTATGACCTCACCAGCAAACTCAGCCATTGCACATAGAAACATAATCACATTCAAAATCTTACTCAGAGTTAATGCCTCCATTCCAAACACTTAACTAGAAAGAGAGTTCTATTCAAATCAAAAAAATACTCTACAGGACATAAGAAGTTAGCAGTAATTACGGAAACTAAGAAGCCCAAGGAAAATACCTCACTTATAGCTGAGGCATCCTCTCCCCCCCCCCCCCCCCCAGCCTTGGACTTTGAAACAAAGATCCAGCACTTCTAACATTTTCCCACCATGATCAAAATGAACTGCTGTCAGGTAAATTAGAACTTACTAGATGAAGTGTTTTGAGTGAGACTGATGTTCAGTGAGACACCCGCTTTATAAATTGAAAGGGGTTTTTTGACAGTTTTTGTGATTCCTGTTAAAGGGTCAGATGTTCAAGGAAGCATTGCTGAAAAGGAGTTCCACTCATGGGATATTATTTTTATTTTCAGAGACCCCTTTTCTTTTTACTAGTTTAGGAACTTATTGCTTTTATTGGGTTATAATGAAGCACAGAATGTATTATTATTTTATCAATGCAATATACCTAGGTGGATCATCTAATCTATAGTAATTACAACAATGCCCTAGCCTTAGATACAAGCATTCTTGCTTTCTCTTTCAAAACTAAGTAACTTGTACTTTAGATGTTATTGTCCTATGTCAGAGCATAAATTGTATACAAATTATTGTAGAGAAAAGGCACTCTTAAAGGTAAGACCTAAAGGCAGCATAGCAAAGCATATATAATTAACCACTCTACTTTTCCTCTACATGTTTTAAAGCATCCAATAGCTCTTCACATAAGCACAGCTATCTTCCCCAACTACAAAGAGTATTTGTTCTACCGATTGGATAAGAAGAGAATTGTGAGTTAAGACTTCAATCTACAAAAAAAAGTACTTGGATTTTACCAAATCCTCTTATCTGCGCTTCTCTGGTAGATTTCAAGGGGAGCTTGCATCCCTACACTACTGACTTGAGAGCAAGCTCCACTGAAATCGGTGGGATTACTTTTCTGCCTCTGCCCACAGAGCAGTACTTATCCTTTAGCCTGAAATACGTTCTGCTTGAACTGTAGGCGCGGATCTTAATGAAGCGTAAAAAAAGGTTAACCGGTTTGGCAAGGAGGGCACCTGGTCGGGAAATAATGGCAAGTCCAAATGCCAAGTCCCCACTGTCGGCACGCACTTGCTCGGAAGTTCCCGGCCATTCATTTCAAAGGAGGTTACTTCCAAAGCGGAGCCGTGCTCAAAACAGAGACCGAAGCGGACCCACTTCAGTTCTCTTGAAGAACTTTCCTGGGACTTGTCCCAAGAGTTTCTGGCGCCTACAGTCTGCTAATAACAAACTCTGGGAAGCAGCAGAGTTTTTAGCGTCTGCAGCGGCGCTTTGGAGACGCGACTGACAGAGACTTACGAGGAATGGTCGGGGGCGAAGAAATCCACCGCGAAGCCGAAGTAGCTGCCGTCGGAGCCGTAGTAAACAGTTGGGCTCTCCGCGTCCAGATTGAAGGCGTTCCCCGGCGCCAGCAGGCGACCCGCGAGGAGTAACAGATAAAGCGCGACCATGGTGAGCCCGGGAGAGGAGCAGTGCCCAGCTGATGCCCCGGGGACCGCGGAGGGAGGCGGGTCTTCCCGGATTTCTGATCGCCCCCGCCAATCCGGTGCCTAGCAGCAAAGCCGAAAGCGCCGCGGCAGCGCCGAGCAGATTCCGAGCAGGGGCGGTGGAGGGAAAAAAATCCGACGTCCTCTGTCGGACTGCAAAATACTCCCAGCCGGCGGGGCTCAGCACTTCCTTTTTGTTTTGTTCCCTGTTTCCCCAGAACGGGTACGAGGACGTGGGCGGAGAAATCGGAGCAGCAACCGCCTCCGCCGCCAGCCTTGCGCGGCCGATCCGCCCCCTGCGTTTGCAAAGAGAGGAGGAGGAGGAGGAGGAGGAGGGGAGCGAAAGCGAAGGGGCGAAAAGCGTCGCGTCGCAGGCTGTGCGGCCGCCGAAAGAGGACGGGCGCGCGCTGGTGCCGGCGGGGGGTGGAGGGCAGAGCCGGCTGGGCTCACCCTGAGGAGCTACTTTCTGTGCTTTGGGTCCTTGACGCGGGCTTGACGTTGGGCGGCTTGGGGGAGTCTCCAGGACGCCTGGAGAAAGAGCTGTACCCTTTTAGACAATGCTAACGATAGGAATGCTCATAATTCGGGGTGGACGGAGTGCTGCTGGACCTGGGAATTGGAAGAGCAAGATCCTGCGCATGACCTAGGCACGCGCAGGGGAGCCTTAGCTGTCCATCTGTGAAATGGGCATGCTGGATTGGCTCGGCCGTAGGGCCCCTCGGCGATCTGTCTTTGGGGGGGAACGCTCTGCCCTCGATTCTCAGTCAACCCACAGACCAGGATAGCAGCTGGACGGCTCTTTGTTCTCCGGAGCACGATGGGGTCGACGGGTCTCCTGGCGTTGCTTATTTCGCTGTCCCTGCCCTTTCATACGACCTCCACGTGCGCAAGGCACACGCGGGAAGGCAACTGGCAAATTCGCAAGGAAATGTAGCGGTCACCTCTGCTTTCCTACGGCTCACCGTGGTGAGTTCGCTTTTGTGGCCCAACAGCTCGGGGTTAAATCGCGATCTTTGGTGAATGCAGGGGTGTGATTTTTCAAACGTCTACTTGGCGCGGTGACTCATAAGAGCAATCTGCCTCTTCATCAGTGGCTTAAACATTTACAGAGGCCAGCAAATACGTCCCGAAATGGCACCATTTTTTTATGAAGAAAGCTGCTTAGAATGTTCTCGTAATGACTTTTCTTCTAATTAACTACCCGTTATGCCTAATTCTCCACAGCAAATTATTCTTGTACTGAGATGAGGGTCCTTTTATATTTAAGTCAAAGTTGAAACTGAAAATACAATTATTATCAAGACACCCCCTCACCATTGTTTGCTAGGAAACGTGCTATGTAATATGTACCAAGTGTCCAAGAGGCCATCATACTGCCCCCAAACCAAGGCCACGCAGCTTCCCCTCACATCCCTCCTATCTTTGAGATAAGTGAGAATATGGGAATTCTCTTAATCATACTTTCCTGAGGACTAACATGAATAAATCCAATGGAGCTCAATGGAATTTACTTCTCACTCAACACAGGAAACTGCTGTAAAGCATTCCAGTCAATCCTTTGAGTAGTGCCTATTTTGATGTCCTGCAACTTTTGATAGGACAGGCAAAGGTCTCCCCCTCCCCTCAATTACATGAAATCCTTTTAACTGAAAATGCCAGGGATTTTCTACTTGTGAGGATGTGCTCTGCTTGACCCGCTAGGCTGTGCACCTCCCCAGTACTAACTGGGGCATAGTTTTCATTTAAATGAAGAAACACACCCTTATCCAACCTGGTATCCTCTATGTGTGTTGGATTGTAACTCCAATAATATCCAGTCAGGTATTGTGGGAATTCAGTACAGTAATAGTCTGTGGGATTAGGGTGTGTAGTGAAATTGTCTGGGGTGGGGTTTGCGGGTTTTGTTGTTGAAAGATAATTCCTATGTGTGGGTCATCACTTGAGCCAATTCTGAGTTGGATTATGAAGCTCTGATTTCAGGTTATTATTTAGCTCTGCAAAGCTTACCCTGAGCCAGTCACTGAGTAGTTCACACATGCTAACTATCATGTGGTTTGATTGGATTTGCCTTAATGTGTTTAACTATAGTTAAACAAACTGCTTTAATGCTGTGACAACTATTAGTGTCTCATAGGACAGTCGTAAGGATAAAGTGAGGGGAAGAGCTCTGAGCTCCTCAGAGGAAAGAGAGAATAACATATAACAAGTAAGTTTAATAGTGTATTTCAGCCCTTGAGCGATGAGTGCTCAGGTGACTTCAAACTGAATATAAATCAGTGTGATGGGGTTGGAAAAAAAAAAAAAGGCAAATGCAATTTTAGGCTGCATCAACAGAAATATATTTTCCAAATCACAATCATTCTACTTTATTCTTTGGTTAGACTCCATCTGGAGTATTGTGTTCAGTTCTGGGCACCACACTTGAAGAAGGATTCAGAGAAATTGGAACAGGTTCAAAGAAGAGCAACAAGAGTGATTAGAGAACTAGAAACTAAGTCCTGTGAAGAAAGATGGAAGGAGATAGGCGTGTTTAGTCTGGAAAAAGATGACTTGGAGGACATATGATAGCATTCTTCAAATCCCTTAGAAGTTGTCACAGAGAAAAGAAATCAGATTTTATTCTCTTTCATTCCAGAGTTCAGAACAAGGAGTAATAAATTTGAATTACAGGAGAGCTGATGCTGACTGAATTCTAGAAGAAACAGTCCTAATAGAAGAGAATATGTGTAGCTCAGGGTTGAACTGTGGAGTCCTTGGGGTTCTCTGAGCTTGGTTGTTTTCTTGCAGACGTGCACTGAAGAAGTTACCTAGCGGGTAATGAAACATCTGCAATAAAACAACCGAGCTCAGAGAACCCCAAGGACTCCACAGAAACAGTCCTAACAATTGGAGCAACTGGAACCAATTACCTAGAGAAGTGGTAGGCCTCCTTTGCTGGTTGTACACTAGCAGTGGCTAGACAGCCATCTGTTTGGCATCCTTTAGTTTGGGTT